TCCCATGAGGCTTTAGTTCTATTGTTTGAAATTATTATGCTATTTCTTATATAAATAGATTTTGCCTGAATACAGACTTTTTTAAATATTTTTGAAAATGTTTGTACCCGTTTAAGGAAGTTAGGATCGTGATTCCACTGCCTCATACTATATAATTCATACAATGAATCCCTACTTTTGTATATACCCACTGTTGCCCAGTCACTAAATTTTAATTTTGAATTCTTAACAATTGTGCGCGATTTAAAAGTATCATTATAAGAAGATATGAGGAAGTCAACCATTGATCTATAAGAGTCATTAGGGTTATTGACTCCTATATCTTTATTTAACATATGATGTGCCACTTTATCTCTAAAAGCATTTATTCTATTAGTAGTGACTGGTCTACACTTGATCTTAAGTTTGCTTGTATTAGCTTTTTCATTTATTGAAAATTTTAGCCCAAAGTGATCCGAGCTCAGATGATTTATAACATATTTATCATATACATCACTGTGACAGAATACATTATCTATACATGAGGAGGATAAGTTAGTAACACGAGTTGGTTCATGAAAAAGATTTTTAAGTTCAAATGAGTTGAATAAATTTAAAAGTCGTTTACTGGGTTGTGTTACTTGTAATAAATCCACATTAAAATCTCCACAAACTATTAATGATTTACTACTTGAACATAGTTTTTTAAGAACATCATCCATTACACACTCAAACTGATCGAAATCACCTGAGGGGGGCCGGTATACGCATACTATAATATACTGTTGACTCTCAACGCAGGATAATTCAATAGAACGTTCGACAGAGTGTGCCACTATATCCTGTCGATTTTTACAGACTATATCAGTTCTAACTAATACAAGAGAGCCACCGCGAATAGCATTTACTCTTACGAACGAACTTAACAATTTATAATTTTCTATATTAACAATATTACAGTGCTTATGTAACCATGTCTCTGTGAAGCAGATGACATGTATATTAAATTTCCTAAGGAACAATTCAATTTCGGGTTCTTTGCCGCCTAAGCCTTGTATATTTTGATGCACAATATTTAATTTGAGTGGCCTAGGCGTTGTCTCAATGTTTAGTTTAAACTAACATAGTTTGCTGAAAGATTATTACATAATAAAATATTCTTAGTTGTACTATGTACAACTGGGTTTTGTATATTATATGCTACTAGAGTAGCAATTAGTTTCTTATAATATAGTGGCAAATACAAAGTATTTTTTGTCACCTTAAAACTAGATTTAATAAAATTATTTAAGTCAAAATAAAAGAAAGCGTCACTATGACGGTGAGTTATGTTATATATAGTCATGTTAAGACTATATATGTATTTATTTTGTTCCTCTGAAAGGAAAGAGGAATATGGAAATGAGCACAATATAAATTAGCACTTAGTTTTATAATGTAAGTTGAGTAATATTTCCATATTATTAACAATTTCCTGTTTCCTTACAGATGAACTATCCCCATGAAGTAGTACAATAGTACTATTCCCATTTAAATTTAATGTCAATAATTTGTTAATATTGTTATGAAAACTGGCACCTGGTGAACATATATACATTATTTACATGTTTGGAAAGTAAAGAACCAAAACCTTGTCCTATATTATCCGATACAATTATAACTTTATGTTTATTATTGGAGATATTGGATGATTTGACAACTGAATGTAATTTATTTTCAAATTTATTATATGATGGCTGATTGCGTTTTTTCTGTATGACCAGGTCACTTCCCCTGTCTGCAGATATATTCAGAGTGTTTAATTTATTTGGAGATTCTGTGTTGGAGCAACAACATGTATTTTTGCTAGTAAATGATTCAAATCTGTTATAATTATAACTACAAAGATCTAATAAATTATCAGCTGCTGGAATATGTTCCTGTATTTGTTTTTGAGATGATTCATATTTAGCAGTTAATATTTGTAATGTGCTATTTAAGTTATTAATTTCAGTTTGAAGCTGAAGTGTTACCTGGCCATACTCAGACCTACTTTGTTCCAATTTATTTTGATACATTTTTACTAACTTACATAACTTTGACCATTCATTTTTTATTTCATAAATTTCTTTGAATGTATATCTATTTCTTAATAATTTATTTGTTTTTTTCTTTATAAATCTTTTAACTTTAATGTATTTTTTAAGCTTATTGTGTGAAAAGCAAGATTGCTTGATACAAGAGTCATCTTTTGTCAAGTCTATAAGCATTTGAGAATTACATTCCACCAGCTCAGTATAAAGATTTTGGGTTTGTTTTGCACTGCAAGATGTATTAATTTGTTCCAATTCGAGGATGGAGTTATTTGCCTCTTTTAAATTAATTTCAAGTTCCGTTATTTTATTTAGTGCCCTTTCATGCTCATTGCTGCACTGATGGAATGCACTCACAATGTCACTTAACTCTTACCGCTGTGCCACTATGTCCATATAACTTTTATGAAGTTCAGCGAGTTCACATTTTAATTCAGTATTTTTTTTAATAATGACCTGAATTTCCTCCTCGCTTTCTTCACGCTCTTGCATCAGCTGTTTGCAAAGGTCTTGAGAAGTTTTCAGTTCTTGTAATGTATTTCTTAATTTATATTCAAGATCCTTAGCAGCAGCTTTGCGGGCGAGCATTACTTTCTCCATTGCTAATATTCTGTAAGATTAACAGAGAGGAATCTGAGATTATGAGGATGGGGAGAAAGTTAAGTAAGAAAATAATAAGAGAAGATGTAAGCTTTCATAATTAGATTATAAAAAAGAGATACAAGAGAAAGTTAGCAAAATTTAGCAAGGAGATTAAATATTTATTTAATTATTACAAAATAACTGTTTTAAGATGAATGTTCAGCTATTACTTATTATAATTTGTATTATATTTAAGAAATATTGCTGTTTCTAAATAATTTATGAAATATTAAACTACCCTAATAGTACTAATGTCTATAAAGTTAATAATGTGAATGTTATAATTAAGTTTTGGTTTTATATATGTTAAATCTGTAGAAGTATTTGTGTGAAGTCAGTTTGAGTAAGGATGTCTGTGGCAAATGTTTTTATCATCAACTTTACTTCCAACTTGTCAAGCAAAGTGAGACAGTAACGGTGCCAAAATGTGTTGAAGTGACGTTACTCACTAGATGTGAGTTTTGTATACTATTATGTAATGTTGTAGTTATATTTAGTATGATCCAAGAAGAAGGATATAATATAAGATACTCCCCGGGATTGAGTGGTAGAATTTTGAAAATTCGGCGGTTGGGCCAGTGACAGCTCCAAGTTGACTTCAGTTTTTACGACTTTCCTTCCGTAGTGCACTATATTATCACTTATTTTTCTTTATTATATATACCTAAGTAATTTACTACGATTTGGAAATAATTAAATAATATAATTTACTTAATTTAAACTTAAAATATACGGAGCTAAAAATTTAACATGTTCACCAGGCCAGTGTTGCCCAAAGTTTCGTTTAGTTTCGTTTACGTTATTAACAAGATAAAAATGATAAAATTACGACGCAGAGACTGTACGGACAGAGCATAGTTGCTAGTATGTAGTAGATGGTCCCTTCCTTAAATGCCAAGCTGCCATGTGGATTTGTGTGTTCGATTATCCCAAGGCTGATATGGGCATAAGTCTCCGTGAATTTCATATTTGTTAAGTTACTTACCAAACTGGAGTCGTTATAGTATTTTCCAATAAAACGTGTTGAATTGCGGCCGGTGCCCTCGGGAAAGTTTATAGGACATGTCTAGAATAGGAACGGGCTCAGGTGTTCTCGTTCGGGTAAAATTTTCCATTACCACGGTGTGATTTACCAGGTGCAAAAAAAATTTATTCGATAAAGAAAAATCACTAATAAAATAAACAACAAGTAGAATTATCTGGCTGCGCATAGTTTTCGAGAAAAAAAAAATTACAACTACGAATATTAAATAGGAAATTGAAAAGAGCGGGAAATACTTATCTTTTTAAATTTAAGGTATGATTAGGTACTCAAATATCAATGCAGCCAATATGCTAATATCGATTTCGGAACTCGATTACAAATTTTATAAAATCTTTTTAATCAGTAAGTAGTATAAATTAATTTCAAGTCTATTTAACACAAATTGATAGTTTTTTTCGTAATTGCATATTTTTATATATCAAGAAGCCTTATCTAATTAAGATTAATAGTGATTTTTTCTTTCATTTTTTTATTAACTATTACGAAGATTTTTCTTTTTACATACGAAATATTCACCTTTCATAAATTTTAATTTTTTGTTTAATGTAAAAAAAAATATTCCTATTTCTGGCCGTGGAAGAGTCAAATTTAATTATGAATTAATAATTATTATTTCATTATTAAATTTGACTCTTCCATGTGCTTCGCCAGAACACTCGCTATGTCGCCCCTGAGTGTCGCTTCACCCACTCGACTCTGGCTCCGCCTTTTTATGTTCACTCTAGGGCCCTACCCCACCACAAGACCACATGAAGTCGGGGTGCTCTGTGTCGGATCTGACTCATAATTTTTTACAAAAAAAAATTATCGATTTTACAATCGATACGAGTATGACGTCACTCGCTACCTATATTTATCATATTGGCATTACTGTATATTGAGTTTTTGAAGTCCACTTAGTAAAATGGCAGACTTTCGTAGTGAAAAAAACAAATTTTAAATAATTTTTATCTCGAAAACTGTGAGTGAGCAGATAATTCTGCGTGTTGATTATTTCATTAGTAATTTTTCTCTATCGAAAAAAGTTTTTTGTTAGCTCGAAAATCAAACTGTGGTAATGGAAATTAATACCCTCGTTCGTAACAAATTGCGACTCGTTGTGAATTGGGCATGAATAAATAGAATATGGCTTGTTGAATATTGGCTATGATTACTTTATTAACGGAATGTTCGGCGATCACATATACAAATGGCCCTTTTTCATTTTTGGCCTAAGAATGATTTTAACCATAACTATTATCCCCGTTCATATCAACTTACTACCTTCTTAACTTAACCCTCGATGACAAAGTGCTTAGGTGGTGTCTATCAAGTGGGTACGTGGAAACGTAGCCTTTCCACGAGCTCTGTGCCCTAAGCAGCTTTATATAGTCCACGATCTGAATGCGGAAACATCTATCATGTCAAAGATAAGAGAGAAAAATTGTTGAGATATCACAAAAGTTTCATTTATTGTCTAAAAATAAACTTTTAAAACAATCAAACGGAATGAGGTGCTGTTAAAAACATTCATCCTTTGTATTGTATCAGTTCAATCAACTGTGTCAGCACAACTGGTGAAGCTGGAATTGGTCATATTTGTTCACGGATGTTCTCGGTATTCCGTACAGCCAGAACTCATACTCTAGCGATGAAATATTAGAGAAGATGAAGCAAAGCGATATATGTTCCTGTGAATAAAGAACATTAAAATATATATATTTTTAAAATAAATCTACAGTGACATAAGTAAAACATTTGCTTTCAACGATATTTATCGAAAACATAATTAAAGATTGAAGTTTGCAGAAAAAAAATTGTTAAAGTTGCCAAGGATAGTATCTAAGCGAATACCGAATACTCCACAATGCTCCCCACAGACGAAGAAGAGTAGAATATTTATTTATTTATTTAATAATCGGTAAACTCCTATAATAATTCGGCGGAATACCGTGCTCATTGCTGAGATTTACCTCATGTCTTCTTGCAGTTGCATAATAAGTTTAATATCAACAAACATTGTAAATATTATTTCATAAATTACAACTTACCACTGTACCCTATCATATATTCAAATAAAAAATAACTTATCATTAACATAACTATTGCATAGCTTTTATCGCGTGCTTTGAGCGCGGCAACCGAATCAAGAAATTCCGTAACGAAAATAAAACCTAACTCCTACAATGTAGCTCGGCCGAGCGTTCGCTTAACGTGTATGTATGTATATGGTACGAAGCGATGTATATGTACGAAGCTCGCACGAATGGATATAATAATATCATATTATCTTATGATGATACGATATTTAGAGGATATTAATTCTCAAACTTATGTTTCTTATTTTTTACTATAATTTTTTTTTCATCTTCACATTTTGATGTTCCTTATTCCTTATCAAATAAAATAATACTCTAAGTGCTGTTTACTTTTATAAAATACTATCAAAATTACCAAATACAGAACAGTACCGGAAAACACGAATTTAAAAAAAGTCACAAGGGCAAAGGAACAAATAGCGTACCTGAAGAATGCCCCCCGATGTGATATACCCTCTGCTCTGAGTGCTGTCTATCCTCAGAATCACATCAAACATCGCAACCAGTACGTCGGTTGTATAATTTTTCTAAAAAGCAACATTAAGAATTAAAAAACTTTTATATCCGTATTAATACATGTTTTTTTTTTATGTCAATGAAACATAAGAAAACATTTATGATATTATATTACATATTTATATTCATCATTAATAAAAATTGACAAAAACTTGCAAATAAATCCAAAATCTGGTCCTTTTAGAAATAATCATAAAGTGACACTGACAATAAACCAAACCTAAACATTTATTAGTGATAATAATGTTGATTATAATTACGATCATACAAGATATTATAATAGGGTATAATAAAGATATTTTATCAATATTTTTACTGTGGTAAGTGCCAAAGATCGCCTTTTGATCCAGGGAAGAAATAAACTTACGCGTTTTTTCTGGTGAATGCAATAATATTTGAATGAATGAATGGTATTTGCAATGTTTCGGATGTTTTGAATACCCCTTGGCGGCGTAATCACCACTTCTACCAAAGTTTTCCAAAAAACAACAAGTGTCCAGAAACAATCCTGGGACGACAAACAGTGCTCGTAGCCAAACAAAATCAATTTCAATTCCATTATAACTTACTTGATAAACCGGGTACGATAGCTCTAATTTGACATCTTGAACTGGAAACTTCCAGGCTTTGGACCCGTACAGCAAGAGATGTGATTCTACAAGAACGAAGAAGAGGCTGAAGTGAAGTCTAAGCCAGAAAATGTGTATGGATGACACTAAAATTGTTACATAACGACAACACGAATGAACTTCACTTTTGACCAAGTAGGTATAACTTAAAATGTTATATCCTCTCTTGGGATTTGTGCCGTATCTCTGTCAGAGGTAATAAAGAGTAGAACGAACTGCAAAAAAATCGTGATACCGTCTCGAGGTATCCGTCTGTCTAAATAAACAACAAAAAGAAAGCTAACACTTACTGTTGTCAAGGTCGTTCCACGCGCAGTAATACCTTTTTACGGTCTGATACACGGACCCGTTCGTCAGACCAATACCAATGGTATTGTCTTGTAATTCGTACATGATGTTTGGCGCATTGCTTGGGCCCTCGGCAAGCGCGATGTAGCTGGAACATTTGAACAAAGAAAACAGTGTAAGAAGATACTTCACAAGATTTGCAAAGGATTCGCTCCACATTTTTTAGAAACGCGCGGGCGCTAAATAATGTTAAATAACGCGGGCCCCGATCGGCCCGAGTTATTTAATATTATTAGTAATTAACAGAATAGATACGCTGATAAAACTTGATAAAAGTGCCACAATCGTAGGCGATACGGGATTTGATAATTTTATTTTTATTTTGTTTATAACAATTATTCAATTAGGAAGCTTGTATCTTGATGGAGGGTGTCGCGAAGTCAATAACCCTCAGCTTTACCCCTTTACATTATTATGCGCTCCTAAACTGGATAGAATTATCTATTAAAATATATACATATAAACAAATATCTAATATTAACCAGAAATCACGAGCGATAAAAAAATTTAATACTAAAATTTGGTTTATTTTCTGATAGATCGTTCTCCAACTGTTTCAACATGGAAAAAAAATAATAATATTTGTAATTTAATACACAATACAAATACGTTGTAATTATTTATGAAAATAAAAATCAACAATAAGTACAAAAAAAAGTTAGGGATTTGAATGCAATCCATAAAGAATGATGGTCCTATACACTGTATGTATAGGACTGATAGACCAATCACGAGAAAGAAAGACATTGAAATTACGCTTTAAATAAATTAATTAACAACATACAAATAATTTATAAATACGAAATATGTGAATACATATTTTTTAGTTTCGTGTTTTGGAAGGTCTAATAATATTAAAACTGACAATAATAAATACATACGTAACATATTTCGTAACGGTAAGCGGGCGATGAGCGACATAAAACCATCTAGCAAGGCGCCTCAGCGCTCTCTGTTCAACGTGTGGAATTGGAAGAAAACCGACACAACACAACGCCGCGGTGGCGCGGTGTTTTGGCCATCGCGTTCGAATTAATTTTAATGAATTAAATTAATATTTACAAATATCTTACTTCAATCAACAAATTAAGACAACAGTCCTTTTTATTAATATATTCTACACCATTTGTTCATTTATTATATCTATATTTTATTTGAATTTCACGTTTAGAGGTAGGTTCGTGATTTTTTTCTATCGAGAAAATATGTCGGAAATATGTTTTGAAAACAATGGTCCATTAGAATATAAGATCAAGATTAACATATATTTTTTGCCTCTATAAAATGTATATGTTTATTTAATTTTTTTTTTGAAAAACTTATTTTTACTGCATACAGAATGACATAAACTATCTTGTTCTTTTACTCTCTATCGTCCTCAAAGATGTAGATACCTGCTGATATTGTGTTAAAAAAATCTATAGTTATCAAAATAATAACTAAGTATGTGTAAAATATACAAATAATAACTCAATTGTATCCGTTGAAGCTATCTAGAATTGCTGAGGCGGAATTCGTTTCATATTATTCTGCTATTATTTATTAAAAGGCGCTGGAAAAATAATCCGATTTGTTCATCAATACTAACTTTTCATTGTCTTTGATGTTGCACGAATGGGCAGACACATCCGGGAAACTACCTTGGTCTAAATGAAGACTTCTGTTCATTGGAAGCCCGGAATTCAACTCGGAGATCTTTTTAAAGAGATTAATATACTCACTGTTGCTTCTCAATACATTTATTGTAATATTTTGTATATACTTCTCTAAGAGTTTTAACGATTTTACCTTGATCCTAATATTTAACTATTACTGAACATGAATATTAACAACTATTATAACGACAACCAGCACTAGTGGTTATGCTTCATAACCTTAATTATTACCTAAAGAATAGTGACAGACGTAAAATAAACACTAGAAATAAGGACAAACTTACTACGCCATTGTTTCGTCTACAAAAAGTAAATTTGTCGTTCATGGGGCAAAGTGTGCGCATTTATAATAAAATCCCACAGTCGATATTAAGTCTGCCGCTTGTCCAATTTCAATGTAAAATTAGAAGTCAACTTATGGTTAAAGCATATTATACAATTACGGAATATCTCGACGACGCCAATGCGTGGAGTTAAAACTGTTGATACTCAAGAAGACTAGAATAAGACTATTTTACTGATGTTATATTGTAAACTGATAATTTGAAAAAAAAAGCAACCGTTGAGTTTCTTGCCGGTCTCTTCTCAACAGAAACTGCTTTCTGAACCGGTGGTATCTAACGCTCTTATATACATAATTTTTGATTTAAAATTTGACGATTCATAAGGGCACGCAAGCGTCTATTTGAATAAATATATTTTTGTAAAAAGTAAGTCTCTTCATTTTTAAAAGAAAAACTCCCGAATACCGGCTCAATAAACAATCGACAGATTCACTGGATCGTCAATCATATAAGTATGCGTGTTTTATATATATATAATTATTTATACATGTATTATGTATTTAAATACGTTTATTTTACTGTATGTATATATAGCATTATATGGTATCATTTTTATATGTTTACTATTTTATGTAATATTCCTTATAAATTTGATTTTTCAATGATCTCTTTTTGCCTCAATTCACCTACATAAACTCTCTGGACCACCCAAAGGTTGACTGGTAGATAATGCTGATGGCATTAAGTCCGCGTCTGTACATATTTTGTGTGCATAAAGTATAAATAAAATAAAATAAATTATACTTTCACGTTTGTTCTGGCTAGTGAGGTCACTTTTATAAAAGATGGGAACGCATCTACAATTCTACGACTATTTCACATGTCCATTGGCAGCGGTAATTATTAAACATCAGGATGGATATAATTATGTTGTAAGCATAATAATTTCTGAAAAAACTTCATGTGTAAAAAATAGAATAAGTCGAAGTAATAAGTTTATGTTTTTTTTAGCAATGAAAGTCAATTGCAAATATTTGCTCACTGTTTTATTGAAGAGAAAAATAAAATCATATTAAAATTTTTAAGATTCGTCACGTCACACAAGCAGACCTTCCTCAATTTGGACGCCATAAATGTCGACGGTAAAATTGTATCCGCCCCACAAAGCGCTTCTGAGGTGCACATTCAAATAAGTGTGCCCGACGCCGCCGTAGTCGACCTCCGCCGTGGCGCCAACCCCCACGTTGTCTTTGACGCTGACGGCGGTTATTATATTATCGTCAGCTTCATTGTACTTCGGAAAGGCAACGTCTTCGCTTCGTATGAAATAAAATGGTTGCTTTACGTGGACACTCGTGTGGATCAACCTGTCATTATAATGACGCGAGCCTTTGAATATACTTTCACCAATAATTGATTTACTCACTGCCAATATTAGACAAAGTAACATCACTAAACACTTCGACTTTGACATTTTAACTTACAACAATGGCTCCTCGCGTGTTTCAGCTTAACCATTACCTTTTTAGAAAAGTAATTAAGTCTTTTACCTTTTTATATATTTATAAGTAAACTTATGTCAAAACTACATTTCTATAACTCCCAACCCGAAAAACTGTCGGAATGTTTATGTATGATTGTCTGATACGTACGAACGTTATAGATAAAACATTGATAAACTCTGAATAAATATATGGCACTTTAACGGTAAGTTAATGATAAACAACGTTCCATATATCATCGCAAAGAAGCCGCAGGTACAGCGATAAACAAATAATAATATAATTTTAGAGTCATTGGTTATATGTAAACTATGTTTGTGACTATTTTAATTACAGATGTAACGGTAGATGAAGTCAACCTTCTGGGCAGTATTGCTGAAGAAAAGTTTGGTGAATAGCTCCCTTTAACTACTAGTATATTTGGGTGGATGACGAGAATGACGAGAATCCAAAGAAGCGTCGCAGTAGTATCATAAAAAGTGCCACTCACAGAATCTCTTCTTGAGAAACTTCATTTATTTTCCTTGTAAAGATATTTCAACTGCTTGTTTCGCTTGATGGTAACCGAGGATCACCTTCCATTGACTCTCGCAACACGAGAGTGGCAGGTGTGTTGATATGCTGCTAACACTGTGTCGTAATAATGTGGGGTTTGTAATAGACATAAACGATATTGATAATTGCATGACTGCGATCTGGCGTGCATGCTATCTACATTAACGAACTGCACTAATAATTATGAACAAAAAAAAAGTACTTCAAACAGGAAACAAAATTCTCTATTTCTCTGGGATGCCATCATCAGATAAGGGTTTCCTTATCTTATACCATGCTACCACCCTTGAGATCTCCTTTCCAACTAAAAAAGAATTATCAAAATTGGTTCATAAATGAAGAAGTTATCCGCGAACACACATAAAAAATATATATACGGTCGAATTGAGAAACCTCCTTCTTTTTCGTTTAAAAACTGCATTGCGTTCAAATTCGTTTATCTTAAGCGTTGTAACACAAATATACAAAGACATTTTAAATTATATCATTTCTCGTACTTCGATAGTATTCTAAAATTCTTGGCTCATTGTAATATTAAGTTGAACGTTAATATTAACAGTCTCTTTAGTAGCGGCTTAAAACTTCTCAGCGCGCACTTCGACCAGGAACCTGTAGGGCTCTCCCCTGGCGCCGGCCAGGTGGATCTTGACGTAGTTGGCGCCGACGCCGCCGCCCGTGACGGAGCTCTCGCCGTTCCCAGCCAAATCGGCGATGTGCACGGACGTAATCTCCTCTTCGCCCACGGCTTTCACTTCGATATCTTCGTCCCTCTTCATTCCTGGGATACCTATCTTGTCGTGGATCTCGAAATGGATCGGGTAACCTTCCGTCAGGTCCCCCATTCTGATGCTGCCTCTTTGAGCGCCCTCCGACAGACCGAGGAGGCAGATCAGCAAGGTCAACGTGGTCAGTTTCACCTCCATTGAAGTAAGCCTGCTTTTCGTTACTCTATTGCAAATAAAAAAAAATGATCCTGCTTTTATTCCAATCCTAATAGATATGTCGTTCCTATTTAATTACTTATTAATGGTGATTGATATATTCGATACTTACTTTAATAATGAAGTTGTCTATTAAGATTCATTAAATATAATTATTTAGTTTTTAATATACTTAATCAACTACAACCTAATCATTATTAGAGGGCATTCGAATGGAAATATTAGTAACAAATGACAAATAACATTTAAGATGAATTATATAAAAAGAAACAAGAGCGTTAAATGCGTAACAATTATTATTTAGATCGCTAGCAATACTAGTGATGGCTTTTAAACTCGTATTGTTTTCCTGTTTAGTGGTCTACATGGCGGCATCCGTCACTGCTCGAGGCAACATAGAATGGGGTCTATCGGATGAGGGTAATCTCGCGTATCACGAAATACACGAAGCGTCGGCGTTCCCCTTGATAAAGAAAGAGGAATTGGCCCTGGCGAGGGTCTCGCAGGGGGAGGAGATTGAGGCGGTGAGGGTGTACGACCTGAAAGGAGACTCCACCAGCGTGATACAGAAGGGCGGACTGGGCGAGAACTACGTGGTAGTTGCCTTAGAAAGCGCCCGCGGAGAGGGTTATAGGTTTCTGATTGAACTTTACGCTGTTCGCAAATCAACCTAACCTCACGTGGAAACAGAATCTATTAAAACAGAATTATCGGATAAGCTATTTGTCTTATTATTTTCACCCTGTTTTATTTCATTTATGTCTAGGAGCCATTGAATAGTGTTCACCGTTTAAATTTAAATATACCGTATACATTTTATATTTAAAACATGAAAGAAAAGGTTTAACCCTGTGCCTATGATTATATAAAATATTTTCTTCATGAGAGAGTACAATATAAACAAAAATCAAAGAGAGTCATTTAAATGTTTTAAGTTAAATTAAATCAATAATAGAAAACTGGCCAAATGCGAGTCGGACTCGCGCACGAAGGGTTCCCTACCATTATCTATAAAAACGCGAAAAAAAATCATGTTTGTTAAAATACAACCTCACTTAAATATTTATTCATTCTATTTTTTAGTATTTGTTGTTATAGCGGCAACAGAAATACAGCATCTGAGAAAATTTCAACTGTCTAACTATCACGGTTTATGAGATACAGCCTGGTGCCAGACGGACAAACAGCGAAGTCTTAGTAATAGGGTCCCGTTTTACCCTTTGGGGACGGAACCCTAAAAACGCATGAAGGATCCCTTTAAAAAAGTACCTATTTTTAATTTCAAAGTTCAATAATTTTCATTTCCATACCCGCTTGCTAGTCACAAATCGGAATTTTATGAACATATAATCGTTTTGTATTAACAAATTATGATGGTATGATAATATGCAACACTGTTCCCACTGCAGATACATTGTCGACCTTTATAAAGTGGGCTTCACTTTCCTCACGCACACGACGATATGCGAAGGCGTATTAATATTTCCACTTCCCGAGCGCGCTTTCGCGAGAGCAATTCAAAGCAGAAGTTCTTGCGTGACTCTGACGATTAAATATCAATAATAATTGAATTCTTATTGATATTTAATAATTAAATATAAGTAATATATTGAAGTTTTTGAATCCAAACCAAACATTCCGTCACTCGGTAGGGCCTAACTAGATTGCTCGAAATGTAAGAATTTAAAATAAAAGTAAAAATTTGTTGAGATTTTCATATATCGCATATTATGTTAGCTCACTGAACTAGAGCGTTGGCCTATAATATTTTAATGACAGTATATACAGTATACCATTAATTTTAAAGTCATAAGGGTAATATTTTAAAAAGCACCCCACGTTTTCTGCTATACTTTTTTTTTGTTAATCAATTAAAAATGCGTGTTTTTTAGTTTTTTTTAAAGTATTAGGTATTTATTTTCCATTTTTTAATTCTGCTAAGTATAAAAACGTGTTTTTTTTATTTTTTAAACATTTTTAAGTACGCATTTCATTTTTTTTATTTTAACACTATCGAGTATCGGATTTGGAAAATAACTAATCCTGAAGGTTGCATTGTCTTGGGTTTTTTGACTAGTGTGCAATGTTTGATTCAAATCTAATCGTTAAAAGTGGGGCAAAATCACGTTTCTGTTACATTCATACATACATACAAGTGAAAGTAATATGTGCGTGTTAAAAAACGTAATTAAAAAGCGTAGTTATTCAGTCAGTTAGTCAAGTTTTGAAGCCTTAACCTTGTTCACTTCTTGCAATGTGCTGCACGAAACGATCTTGCCGCCTTTCTCGATCAGGACACTGTTCCACGGGTTCCCTATTGGCTCCCCTATTGGTGTACCAGCGACAAAAATGGTAAATTGAACTTCGATTCAGATCAAAATCCCGCGTCGCATCTGATTGATTGCTTTCAATTTGCAGCATTCTTACCGCTTTTGGCATTTCGTCTCTAGTTATAATTATGTCCTCGCTGCATTACTTATTATCAATATTTTTAAGGTTTAAAAAAATAGTTGTAATTCTGGATCAATGCATTTAAAGACATTTAAAGACAGACGCAAAGAAGGCAAACGAACTGACGGTCCACGTGATGTTAAGTGATGACTGCCGCACGTAGGGTTGCAGATATGTTGCCACGTTTTAATAAGTAAATTACTATATGTTGCCACAGGAACTAAATTATTTTGCAATATTATTATGTTTGTTGCAAAAATTACCCAAAACCCCTAACCTTATTAACGGTGGCCCCTAACGGAAACCCTTGTTCAAAATTTTATTAAGCTATCAAATGCTGTACATTCGTACCTCCCATAACAAAAACCCATTAATCAGTTCAGTTTTTTAACTTTACATTATTATCAGCGACAACACTAAACTAAACTCTAAACCAAGGCACTAAACCTCCAGCTATGTAATTAAAAATGCATCCACGAATCGATTATTTCTAGAGGTATATTAAATTACAGTTGTATCAGTTTACACCAATTAATTTCACATTTGTTCCGAGAACGCCTATAAATACATAGGACGGCCAACATGAGGTCAGATTATTTATTTTAAAGGCATCGTCTGCTGCCATAATGACCACCAAAGCGACCTTCGCTTTGATCCTCTTAGTTTGCGCTGCCGGTACGGTCAGGTCGCGAAAATATCTGGAGGAAGGTAACTCCACGGAAACGAATCTCATCTACTATGACATCCACGACAAAATAGGGATACCGCTAATGAAGCGTGACGAGGACATAGAGGTGGGGACACTTGGGGACGAGACGATCAGAGCTGTGATCATTCACGACATCTCGATCAAGGGCTCCGGCGAGATGTCCATCGACCGTTCCGGCCTCTACCGCGACCGACTCAAGATCCACCTGACGGCCCCAGTGGGCGACGGCTACAAGTTCCTCGTCAAAGTGTACGCTCTCTGATCACCCACGGCCGTAACCCTTGAACGCGAGACACGGAATATTAAACTTTTCATTTTTTCATACTTCTCTTGTCTTTCATTTCATACTATTTTCTTAACAGTAAGAAAACGATATCGAAATGTACATATTTGTTTTATATAGTTCGTCAGTAAGAAACGACGAGTATCTGGGTGTTATTTGAAGCAATAGCACCAAGATACCAGTATATATGTAGGTTACTGTACTTGACAAGTATACAGCTTGCCGTTACAACCGCGATAATAAATGAACACACGTCTAACGCTACTCGCCAAGAATCATAAAAAAAATAAAACTTAAAAAAACCATAATTAAAAAAATATGTTTTTCAATCAAACTAATTAAATAAAAAAGAAACAAAATTTGTAACATCCTATACAACTACAACTGACTGATTCATACATTTTTTTTTTTCATTCGTTGCCACAACTTTGCATTACAAGTCTCTCCTTCTGACAGTATATTTTATCTCTTTTGAATTCATGCAACTCATTCATATGCTTTTGACCTTTACAAATGAACTTTACGTTACGGTGTTTATAGAATGAAAATGCTCAATACAATTTTCTCCTCTATATGTGTGTTCATTTATGGTCGCGGTTGTAACGACACGCAGTATAATCAAAGATAGCAACCCTTTTTAATAAATGAGCGTTAAATGGATGGGGTTTTCTAAAATTTTACTATTGTTTATTAATGCGCTTCCATTATGCTTGTTTCATGAATAAACGTTCATAATAAGTAACTGACTTTATATCATAATAATTTTATGTTTGAATTGTGTACACGTCATATAAACAATTCAAGAAATATATGTAATAGGAGATTTTAGGTCGTTCTAGTTACTGAACTTTATCGCCCTTCATTTGTATTTAAATTCCCTACGTTTCAAATACTAATTACTCATATAAGCTAAAAAATTGCAAAATAAATCAATTTATATTTTAAATTTGTTAAACTGATATAAAAGTACGGAAAAAGTTACGGGAAAAGTTTCATTGAAGATCGTCGCTCCGGGTTGAAGGTTAACAGAATTAAAATTCAGGATTTTGTAGCTATTTTACGTGAATGATTTGGAATAAGCATCCGATACATAACAAACCGCAAGACAATTTGACATCATTAGTGAAGTATAAAAGAGCATACGTACCAGCAGTATCGACGGCATAACTCCTAAGATGGCGTTAAAATTCCTGCTTGGTACAATTCTTTTGGTTTACCTGTCGGCTCCAGTGGTGGGGAACGGCGACCTGACGGTCGGCAACCCTCACGGCAAACGGCTGCTCCATCACGAGATCTATCGCAGGAAGGCGGTGCCATTTATAAAGAGGGTGGAAGAGGTGGAATTCACCGCGCCTGCGAACGCTACAATCCAGGCGGTGGTGGTAAAAGACCTGAAGGGCAACGGGGAGAGCTACATCCAGCGCGGCGCAGTCGGTATGAAGGGTGTCACGTAGAAGTTGAAGAGTGCCCGAGCACACGGCTTCGATTTCGTTGTTGACGTATACGTCTAAAGCGAAGTAATTTATTATTTGCACACGCGAAACGTCTATAGAAAAATAGTTTACAACTCAATGGTACTCGTAAAATAGGTTTTGGGCATATAGATATTTAGGACACATTTTTACACAACGTTTTTTCAGTCCCAAACTAAGCAATGCTTGTACTATGGGTATGATAACTAGTGAACATACTTAAAGATACTTTTCTCATGTAAATCGTAAATTTTTGTAAAGTTTTACGTAAATCATAAGAAGTATTATTATTGTATGATATTATTGTTCCAAATAGAAATTGAACACTTGAACTCGATTGTGATTGTTTATAACATAATAATTTAAAATCACTTATGACACGGACTATAAAACTAATGAAGGCCAATTAATAACTTTACTGAAATCGAAACGCATCGGGCGTCGGTGCTCATTCGATCTGACAATGAGGCCGAAAGTTTTGTTCGTGATTTCACTTTGCGTTATTTATTTGTCAACAACCGCGCTCAGCAATGGCGATTTGGAAGCGGGTCACACCTACGGCACGAAGCTGATACATAATGGGACTTACGAGAAAACGGGAAAAGAGCTGAAGAAGCGCTCGAAGGAGATAGAGGTGAAGGCGCCGCACAACCAGAGGATCCAGGCGATCGTCGTGAAGGACTGGTTGGGCGACGGCGCCAGCCACATCAGGGCAGGAGGGGTCGGCAAGAGGAAAGTTTCGCTCAAGTTGAAAAGCCCTAAAAGCAGAGGATTCAAATTCTCCGTGTCTGTTTATGCGTTCTGACGGAAGAAGGTCGAAATTTCCCGCTTCAGTTGGCCGCTAAGCATTTTCAAGTGTTTTGTTTGTGCTGTATAGTGCTTCAAGTGCGTGTTCCAAATAATTAAACTCGAAAAACTACATAAAATAACAATGTGTCTTTATTTGTAATTTACGCGTTCCTGCACAGTTAATCAGCTTTGGTGAGTTTTTATGCACGCTCGTGAAGGTGCGAGTTAGCGAAAAATTGTAGCAAAAAAATGAATTATCTACTTCTATTAACTAGTATCTAATATAAATTGTAATAATTATGTCCCTCTCGATTAACTTTCATCACCTAATGAGTCTGCCTGTAAATACCAATGCAATGCCACCAAATGAAATGCCCGTCCTCTAATTAACACAATAGCTGTCAAACATTTGCACAAAACATTCGGACTAGCCGATGCGGCCGCATTACATTATTCTAATTAACTGCGGGCAAGCGCCACCGATGAGCATCCCTATAGCTCAGGTTTAAAGTAGAAAATAGCTTGGCAACTTGGCCTGAGCGATAGCGGCGACCTTTGCTCCCTGATACGTCGTCTTTAGCGTATCAAACGTATCTGCCCCGTTCACATGTCGCCGGAGCATATATAAATAATTAGAAAAACAAGTTTTACCTAACGTGTAATGGATAATGAATATCTCATTAACGAATAATGGGTCACGGATAATGGAGCTATTTATTTGTATAACTATGTAGTTATATCCTTTTATAGATTTATTCAAACCGATTGATAAAAATTGGCTGCGCTTACCCGATACTGAAATGTTAGATCTAGCTGGTTATTTCGAAGGAAGTTTGGTGCTTCAAGCAGTAGAACGAACGTATTATTTAGTAGTGATATAACATAACTGTAAATTAAAGTTAAATACTTTTCAGTTGGAAATCTGATTTTAATATAATTTTCGTTGAGAAGTTATTAATTAAATTTATACATGTATTATTTTTAACAAGTGTACATTGCAACATTGAAGGTATGTTTATAATAGTTGGTGCCGGCACCGGGATCGAACTCAGGTTGCTCGAGTATTATGAATTAAAGGCGAGCGCCCGGACACTGAGCTATCACGACTCCAATGAAGTTTTAACTTTAAGTGCTGTCTTATCACGTGCTCCGCGGTGAAGGAAAACATCGTGAGGAAACCTGCATATTTTCGAAATAATAACAAAAAAAAATATTTCGAAGATATGTGAAGTCCGCCAATCCGCAGTGGGGCCGCGTGGTGGACTATGCCCTGATAACCTCTATATAGAGGAGGCCTTTGCCCAGCAGTGGGACATATATAGGTTGTTACTTTACTTTACTTTACTTATAATAGTTAGTAATATTCCAAATTAATTTTAAAAAAATGTATATTTATAAGAGTTCGCCCATTCCTTTGTTTCCATCAGTGTCAACCTATTAAAGACTTGTTGAAGCAAGGACAATACCTTTAAGTCCATGTGAGATATGGTCTTTTCCGTTAGCTCAGGTTTAAAATGCAATCCGTGTCACTTTCTGGCCTATACACAATCCATGAGGAGCTAAAAGATAATACTGTTCCGGTGCCCCATTAATGTGTTAAAAGAGAATAAACAAACAAACTAATAACTATAATTATACGAAAAAGTTAGATCCATATAAACTTGTTCTTGTCGGAAGGCCTATATACTATTATGAATATGGATACGGTAAATACGGTTTCGTCGAATTTGAGCACTTGACCCCCCGTTCCGATATCAATGTTTATCATCTGTCATAGAGCGCTCCACGCTTCTTGTTATGTGTACACTGTGACGGTAGTTCATATTGAGATGTCTTTGAGAAAGTTGATCGCATTGTGTGCACTGGCGTCGATCGTTAGCTGCAAAAGTGTCATGGTAGGTCAAATAGCGGACGGACGCGTCTTATTTACTAAAGAGACCCTGGAATACCACGGTATCCCTTTCTTTAAGAGGGTAAAAGAGCTAGTTTACGAAGTGCCCCCGAACTTCGGGGATGGGACGATAAAGGGCATCCTCATAAAGGACCTGGGGGACGGCATGGCTGAGCCGTCCATAACCCTCGGCGGCATTGGCTTCAGCTTCGTCCACATCAAACTGAAGAGCGAGAGGAGTGCGGGCTTCCATTTCGATATTGAGATTTATGCCTGATCCCTTCGCTTCGCACGCGCCGCTTAACTCGTAATGGTTTTTCGAGGACATACAAAAAAAAATTAAAAGTTTAAATCCACATCTTTTAACAACTTGCCATTTTATTTATGAGGTATTGGTTTATATCAATTTTACTAGTTCACATATCACATTTGTGTTGAGCACAAAAAAAACGATTGATCGTTTGCTTGTATTATTGTTTGCTATAATTTTCTGTTTTTAATTATTATTTTATCATGATGTTCTATATTGATGTTTTTGTTAGTTTTCGTATGTATGTGATAAATAAATAAATGTGGAATCAGCTTTTACTAATTCATTTAATCTTAATTCCTATTGAACAATAATTCCCATTGAAAAGATTAAGTTACATTCGTGTCCATGTACAGGTAATGTACTCGTTTGAATTTATTTATAAAATATACAACCCAAAAAGCACAATACGCTCGTAAACAAGGAAAATCCCAAAAGATTGCACGTGAACGCGAACTAACCGGCGCGCGACGTTGCCTCACATCGCTTACGGATTACGAATCGAGTCACTCGACCTCCTAGCCTCCTACGAGGCCATGTGATTGTCTCATAAACGCACCGTTAGGGTTTTCTACTTGAGACACTCCCCTAAACTTGGGGGGAAAAAGGGAAAAAAATGGATTTTACGGCTCTAGCTATAAAATGTAACTTTAAAAATTAATATAAACAGCTTATAATTATATCCATATTTGTTTTATTGGTAAAGAGCTCAAACACACAAGCTATTAGGGCATAGTATGGAAACAAGACTACTGCGGTTTTGGAATCTCTCCGAAATGTATTATCCCACACTACGAAACGGTAGACTTTAGCGTAAATCACGTAATAAATCAGCACATAAAATTACTTTTAACGATTTCATAAGTGCTGGCGCCGGGATTTGAAAAGTATAAAATAAACAATTCTATTATTAAAAAAATAATGTCAACTTTTGACTTTCAAAGAGTTGATTCATATGTTCAATATGTAGGTAGGTATATCGACTTCAGTTTGGGGTAAGAAGTCACTGGGCGTTGGTAACTCTACGCATCAGTCAGCAATGAGTTCGAACTCAATCAAACCCAGTCGTGCAGGCGCTTTGCGGCGAACACACGTGTCTAGCATGGAGTACAAAGTGATACTCGCTGTGGCCGCCTTGGTGGCCGTGGCGAGCGGCAAGAGCGTGTTCGTGGGACAGATCTACGACCACAGCGGCGTCGTGCGGAAAGTGTACGAGAAGGCGGTGGAGGCGTCCGCGATCCCGTTGATCAAGAGGGAGCAGGAGGTGTACTTCGAGTACCCGCTCGGCGACCAGAAGATAAAGGGCATCGCCATAAAGGACCTGGAGAACGGCCTCGCCGATGCGTCCATCAACAGGGGCGGCCTCGGCTTCAACTTCGTCAACGTCAAGCTGAAGAGCGAGCGCGGCTCGGGCTTCAAGTACCTCATAGAGATATACGCCTGAGCTCGGACACGGATACAGTGACTTAGTGCGAGATATGAACCAAAATCTCAAATCAAGTGAACAGCCTAATGTTGCATTGTTTATATGTTTGCGCAAGATATTATACTTTAAAAAAAAATATATAAATTTCGGATATCATAAAAAGTTTGTAGAAATAATATCCATGTATTAAACCTTAAATCTAACATAATAAAAGTGAATCCTTATTTTTTAATTTAGTCTAATTGCACCATTTTGCTGATATAGGTAAAGTTTAATATTAATTCGGATTGTATATAAGACCATTGATTTAGTTTTACTCATCTGTTCAACCATTCAGTAAATGCGACGTACTAATTTGATTAATAATATATTCCAGAACGAACACAATGTAATAACATAAAAATATTTTGCATAATTATTTACATTAATTAAATAAAGACCTTGTTTATAGTTAAGCGAGTACCATTACGATTAACACCCATATTGGAATGTTTGTACGCAACTTGCAAGGGATAAGCAGCAGTTATTTCATATAATTCATAAATGGAGTGTATAATCATACATATTGATTAGTTTGAAATTGATCTATTGATTACACATTATGCTTAGTCGGATTAATTATTAATCAGATACTACAGCTTCATTTTTAAATAAAAATAATTAAATTCTTTTGTCTGAGGATTTTAATGTTAACACTGTTTTTAATGATAATAATAGTATTTACGCAAATACTAAATATTGGTATATTTTAAGTAAAACTACTTAACATAATTTATTGTTTTTTTCTTTTCTTTTTAAGTAGTACCCAACGTTTTAAAGGTTTGTTCTTTTATTAGTACCCGAAAGATAAACTATTTGAAGTTTTTTTAAACTGATTTATTTACCAACAAAATTTAATTCCTTTATTATTTTCATTACTGTCTTGTTGATTTTTTAAACTTTTTCTCCAAACATACGTTTTATTACGAAATATCCGAATAGGAAGATCAAAATTATTTAAAAAACAAGGAGAGGCAGGTTCGAACCCAGCAGCGCCGAAAGTTTTCATTCATTTATTTACAAAATTTCACAATTTAAAGTTTAATTTTAAGTGGAGAGAATAGAACTAAAAATTAATGCTAAAACACCGCTCTTATCAAAAATCGTTACGACCAACGTGTCGAGACAAATATAAATAAATTGAATGTCAACATCATTTCAACGATGATGTCACTTGGATGAAACTACCTCAATGGATTAATTCGCCTCTTTCCTGTTCAGTGGACCGTGAGTCGTACTTGGGAGTAAGAAATAAGAATACGAGGCACGGTGTCGATATCATGTAGGACAGTCATGCGCACGCTCCACGGAAAAATCCATAAAGCCACTGACAGTCACTACACGTAAACATTGTATCAGTATAACATTGCCAGTGAAGAAGAAAAATTTAATTTATAAACAGTAAATATTATAGATACGTAAGTTGTTATTTTACACTTACGCCCGGTTTCTGAAACACTGATCATCGTGGAAATTAACTAATCACCTGTCAAATGGCTTTTCAAATGTCATCTGAGCTGCCAAAAGGATATTTATTTTTAATTTGACTAATGATGATCACAAACTGCAGACAACATATTTTTTAAAAAAATATTATATTTTATATTATATACTACGATAGTGTACACACATGTAAATTCTTAGAATACCCACTTATTACGAAAATTGTCATAAACTTATATCAGAAATTTGAATTTCAAATTTACATTTTTGATATCATTATTACATACCATATATTACATCCATTTATGTATTTAATTGTATAACTTCCATATTTTTTTTTAAATAAAAACAAAGTTTAACCTGTCAAATTTCAGTATACGAATTTTTGTATACAAACATGTTTATCTATAAATAAAATATTATAAATTGGTGAGAGCTTGTTAAATGGGTCGCCCCTCTAATATTTCCTCGGGTATTGGATGTCTGCTGAATACGAGGTGTAGCCGCCCTTGCTGTAGATCTGGCTGAGGGGGTTGTTGGTGTACACCTCAATTTCGAACTTGTACCCCCTGAGGATGGTGGGGCTCTTCAAGCCGATGGTGACGCTCTTGTCCCCTATGCCGCCGCTCTCAATGTAGGCTTCTCCGTCCTTGTCGTCCCTCAAGTCGGTGACGAAGACAGCAGATATGACTTCGTTGGCGGGTGCGTTGACGATGATGTCGTCAGTCCTCTTCCAGAGCGCGGGATCGGCCTCCCTGATCTCGCTGAACACTTTCCTCGACTGTGGTGATGCGTACCCCAAGCGAATGTCGCTGCATTCCGCTATGCCACCTAAGCACACAAGGACGAGGATCGCGTGAAGCAGCTCCGTGGCCATTTCTACTATTCACCTGCGCTGGATGGTGGGAAACTTGTGATTGTCCGGCTCCAACTGCTCGCTTATATATTAGGCGGATAAGCAAACGTGCAACGCCGTGAGATCACGGCATCCGTATAAGTAACAATTCATGTCAATACGTTAAAAATATGTACTATTTGTAAGGCTATGAGTACACGTATCGCAAAACGTCATGTGTAGGAAACTTTATCATCCTGCGAACCTACGAACGGATCGGAATCGCATATACGAGAATGATCTTTTTAAAGCCTCGTATGTTATGGGGGTTCTGAATACTAGTTATAGCAAAATATAGGAGTAAGTTATGCAGATTTGGTATAATGCTAGCAAATACTTCCAGCATAGCCCTGTGTTCTGCTGCAGTTTGTATAGAGTTCACTTTGTAGATGCGCAGTTCCTCTACATCAATCAAGAACTCAATGTTCTATAATCCAATCCATAAGCTTAGGATTGAAGAGCTGTTAACATGAGCATCATTACTAGTACTACACCCGTACTCGTATTCGGATCGTATGTAAGTTCTGGCGTTAGCATCGCTATGACACAGAAAATTTGGGCTATATTATTAAAAACAAAAGTTACTTAAATAATACCTTGACGGGTTGGCCTCATGAAGTAGTTGAATATATAAAGCCTAAAGAAAATAATTTATGGAATAGTTCCTGGAAAAGTCGGCAGAAGAAATCTTAAACGAACTTAATCGACCAAAATGCTGCGTTATGAAATCCGTATTCTCTACCCCTTCGGGTGACAGGTATTAGATATTAGAAATTTAAATGCTATTGAAATAGACTCTGTCCAAATCGAAACCGAGGTAGTGTAGACTCAGCTTTAACTTTTAATTATAACAAACAAGCTAATTTTTCCGCGAAATTATATAACACGTAAGTATCGAAATATATCGTGGTATCGCGCGAATAACGTAATCGCATTATAGGCATGTATCGTTTCACAGAATTATTTCACGACGTGGTCAGGGGTCAGCTACAAAACGAAACAAATAGTTGAAATGTGCACCGCCTGACATAATCATGGATAAAGAAACTTGGTTTTTATTTAAAACAGTACAATTCATGGAGAATGGATCTCATAGATTCTTGTGTTGTCTTGTCATTGAAGAAACCGGACGACAACACCTTTCTGAAATCATCAATGTTATACAAACAACACTTCCTATAACACATTGTTTGGCCTATATATAAATCTTGAAACAGTTTTTAAGCAGTTACCACTCTTCATCTTTGCATAGGTTTGAAAACCTTTTGGGCATATTTGTAGATACATTTTAACAGAAAAAATACGTAGTTATTTAGACGTACTACAACAACACCGAGTCGTTTGATAAAACATGAAGTATATTGTGCATAAATTATACAAAATGTACACAGTACTACGCCATGTTCATTGTACCACATGCTAAATTAGTATCCATTCACAGAAGTGATATATTCGCGTATAATTGTTAATGTTAAAAATACATAAAACTGAATCATTGGTCACAATCAGATGGAGCTGTGTCACGTCATTTACACGGGTGTCTTTTGCCGTGCTAGCCGCACTCCAAAATGCCCTGTCTCGTACCTTTTATTGGATTATTATTCCTGTCTCTTGCCAAATCCCATGATTTGTTTCTCGGCTTCCCGGACGTCTCATCGAAACTGATTTATAGTAAAGTTCTCCAGGAAAACCCGGCTATTTGGGTGAGATCGGAGACTATTACAGTGAATTGCTCGCGAAACGAAGTTATCAACGCCATCAAGGTCCTGGATCTACGACAAGACAAATGGGGCGAATGCTACATCAAGGGGGGCGGAATTGGAGAGAAATACGTGAAGATCGAACTTGACAGTCCGAGTGTATTCCGCGGATACAACTTTTGGGTGGAGGTGTACGCCATCGAGACAAATAACTTCCTTTACAACCACGGGAAGAAATGACTAAGCCGTTGTTTTTATTTAATCTGTATGTTTGTTTATGTTTGTTTATTAAATTTCGTATAGCTTTTTGCGCATTTTTATTTCAATGTGTACGTGTTATATGGTGTTTTTTACTCTAAAGGTGAGTACTGCCATGATTAGTGTCTTGTATATTTATACTCCAGAAAATCATTTAGGATTTATCCACTAGTAAAGTCAGTCTTTTTCTGTGATTATCTGCATAAGGTTTTGTTCGTATATCTTATGCTTTAAACGAGCAATTCTTGTATATATATATATTATAATGACCTCATTAGTCTAAAGGGCAATTTCGTATATATAGTTAATTCACTTGGTGGTGTAGTGGCTTGGAGGTTTGCTTTAGGAAATCCGAGTCGAGAGTTCGGATCCTACGTTCAGCACGCTTTTTGTTAATTTCCTATGTATAACGTAGAAGTTCATTTTTATTGAGCATCAGGGCTCGGGCATTTGAGGTCGGAGACGCGTAATATGCAGACCGTTGTGCTTACGATTGTACTCTAAAATTATTTCTTCAGGTACCGACACAATTGTCATGTTGAGTGCAATTGTTTGTTTTTTTTCGTAAATTCTTAAATAGTTACGTGCAAAGACTTGTGTATCTGTGTGTACCGTGAAGGGGTGAGTTATTGTGTAAAATTATATTTACTTTTAGAAATTTAGCCGTGATAGAAATACATTGTATCTTTATTCTTCATAGCCTACGGACATGCCCTTTTAAGACCTGAGGAGTTAGCCGTGGATGAAGGTTTTGGCAGAGTTCCCAGAAATCAAACTCTCCTGGCACCCTTACTATTAGCTTAATATTTAATAAGTTTAGTTTAAAAGGTTTTTTTTTAGTTTAGTTTAATACGTTTCCTTTCATTTAGATTCACGTAATTGTTTATTGTGCTTGCAACCTAAATAAACTGTTTGTACGTGAACTTTAGAAGTCTCATTTATTACAAAAGAACCCATAACAAATGGCGCACAACGTGGATATTGCGAGCTTCTAAAGTTCATTAAAATTAAAACAGCTGATTAAGATAATATTTATACAAACAAAAAAAAATAATAATAATAGAAACTGTCTCCTTATACATACAAGTATAAGGCTATATAACGAATTTGTGATTTGATTTATAAGATTGTTGTAAGATAAGTGGTAAGCGTTTTTAAATTTATTCACTTTATTTCGCCGTTTTGACGCTGAGCGCCGTAAGGGAACTTGATTAATTAATCACTTTATACTTAACTAAGTTACCTTTAATGTTGCTAGCTTAAAGTTAAGTGGTAATCCTTTAAATATTTGTTATTCTTTATATAATTAATGTTAGCAGTAAACTGTAACTGTAGTTAATTTAAGAAATTATTCTAATTGTACATAATGGATCCATATTACTTACTTAAAGATGAATTAGAATTCGAACTCTCGATACGTGGTGTACAGATAAAAGGAGTAGTTTCAATGTTAAGGAAAGTGTTAAAAGAGCTATTAGTGGCAGAACAGTCGGGAATAGCTACGTATAATATAAAAATTCCAAAACTTGATTCAACCACAGAGTTAAGTGTTTGTTCTTCGAAGTTAGATATTGTTATGAACACACAGGCGTTAGTTCCTACGCCATCTAGCGTCAACTATTAAAACCACTAAAGAACAAAGACGACATAAAACCCCCTATTCAACACTAGATGGCGTTAGAGGAACTGCTGTGGAACTATAGTCTCGAAAACCGGGTACATTCGCGAACTTTCCGGAATCACGAACATGTTCGTGCGTGTCGGGTACGTTCCAGGAAGGATCTTTCTGGATTAGTCCGGAACCGGTCTCGGCCCATATAAAAAGCCGCAGGGAGGCGAGCGAAGACAGTTCAGTTTGAGCTACCTTCGAGGCGACTTCGGAGCGAAAACTAGTGATCAAGAGCGATACCAGTGAAACCTACGACTTGGCTACAAAATAGGACATCGTTAGTGCTTAGTGTTTGGACCTAGTACTTTGTGTTGGACCTAGTGCTATTGAATAAAGTCTTCAAAAGAGTCAGCAGGTCTTTCTCTCCAAATCCTTCGAACCCCTAACACGTAACAATATTATTGCAAGTTATATTTCTGAAATTTCGGATAAACCGGATAGATCATTATTTAGACGTTTGGTCTCTAGGCTGTGTCACGTTAAAAATAGGCTCGATTTTATTAGAACGGAAGTAGATAATGAAATACGACAAAAAGCTGAGCTAATTATCAAAAGTGAAAAATTATTAAATGAATTACAAGAAATGGACGAAATCAGTGAAGATGATGATTTGTCAACTGATGTAAAAAAAGTCTTACAGGAAACCTTAGGTGAAATAGGAGAAGATATAGCAAAAAAAAATAGAAGATTATAGCGATGCTGACAATATGCCGATAACATCAAACAAAAATGATCTTAAACATGTCAAAAGAAATAATTCTCCAAAAAATAAAAATAAGCTAAGCGGATTATTACGCACTTCTACTGTTGAGGACGAAATTCAAAATCGAAAACTTGTACCAATAAGTACATGGGGAATACAATTCTCAGGACAGGACAATATTAGTCTTAATGCTTTCATAGAGCGTGTGGAGGAATTAAAAGATGCTAGAAATGCAACTTACAATGATTTATGGCGAGATGCCATTGATTTTTTTAAAGGCGATGCATTAATATGGTATAGGGCTAATAAAGAGTATGCTAAAGACTGGAATGAACTCGTACTTCTTTTGAAACATACTTTTCTGTCCCCATACTACCAAGACGAGTTACTATCGGAAATAAAATCGAGAACGCAAGGTTATGATGAATCTGTTACTGTCTATATCTCAATTATGCAGAATATGTTAAATAGACTACCTAATAAAATATCAGAATGCGAAAAAATCAGAATAATATTACGTAACTTGCAACCGTATTTGCAGAAAGCAGTTTGTAGAGACAGTTTTGATACCATCTCTGAGCTTAATATTATTCTTAGAATTATTGAAAGGACAAAATTAAATTGTGATAAACTTTTAGAACCAAAATTGAATCGCAACAGATTAGAACCAGACTTAGCATACAAAAGTAAATTTACACAGCTGCAAAGTAATGTTAATGAAATCACGAATAACACGGCTACTATAAATATAACACAAAAGAATAAGCGTTGTTGGAATTGTCGTGAGATGGGTCATGTTTTTAGAGAGTGCCACTATCCCAAACTAAAACTGTTTTGCTACAAATGTGGAAAGTTTGGCGTTACTTCTAAAGATTGCCCTTGTAAGGGAAACGCCTCCGGGGAAAGTACAAAACCTGCCAATTAGGCTTTCCCCTTAATAGAAATGATAAAGAATGTCAGGACTGGTTGCTTAAAATTAAACATTTTATGTCTCCGGGGAAAATATGTCCATTGATTGTTCACAAACAAGATGACAATAGACCTTACGTTTATTTGAACATATTTGAATTTCCGTGTATCGGTCTATTAGATTCAGGTGCGAATCGCACAGTGATTAATACTAAACTTAAATTTAAATTAAAAACGTTGGGCTTAAAGCCGCAAAAATCGAATGAACTACATGTCACTACTGCGGATGGAAATATTCATACTATAGGCGAGATCATTGACGTACCGGTAAAGTTCAATAATATTTTTAAGGTGGTCACGATGTTAATTTTACCAAATTTATCACAAGAACTGATATTAGGAAAAGACTTTTTCGATCTCCTTGGTGTGAGGATTGAATTTGAACCTAAAGGTGCCAGATCAAACAAAATAATGTCTTTAGAAACACTTAATAGAGCTGTAATCGTTTCCAAAGAAGATCTAGATGATGAATCGAAATATCAGCTAGAAAAGTTAATTCACGAGGTAAGACAGACAATAGGAACAGGATTAGGAAGAACAAAAATACTAAAACATCATATAGATACAGGAGACCATAAACCTATATTTCAAAAACAATATAAATTTTCCCCTGCCAAAAGAAAAGAAATTGAAAGGGAGCTAGACCATATGATAGAGAAGGACATTGTAGAACCATCTTTTAGCGCTTGGTGCTCACCTGTAGTAATCGTGAAAAAGCCCAACGGTGAAAATAGACTTTGCTTGGACAGTAGGCAATTGAACAAGGTCACTAAACGGGACACTTATCCCTTACCACAGGTGACCCATATTATTGACAATCTAAGAAATGCAAGATACTTAAGCACTATAGATCTAAAATCGGCGTTTTGGCAAATTGAGCTTGACAAAGATAGTAAGGAAAAAACAGCATTTGCTATTCCCGGGCGGGGTCTATTTCAATTCAAGGTCATGCCGTTCGGGTTGGTTAATGCGTCACAAACTCAACAACGCCTTATGGATATTTTGTTTCATGCACTGGAAGGCAAAGTCTGGGAATATTTGGATGACATAGTTGTTTGTTCAGAAAATTTTGAGGAACATTTAATAGTATTAAAACAAGTTATGGAAATTTTAAAACAAGCTCGTTTGACAATTAACATTGAGAAATGTAAGTTTGCAAGAGCCAGCTTACGATACCTAGGATATATAATAGATAAAGATGGCCTTCGTACTGATTCAGATAAAGTTTCAGCAATATTAAATTTCCCTCGACCTAAAACAATGACAGAACTTAAGAGGTTCATCGGCCTAGCCAGTTGGTACAGGAGATTTGTAAAAGACTTATCTACTATTGCGGCTCCATTACATAATCTAACTAAAGGAAAGAATAAGAAGCGATTGGTCTGGTCTAATGAAGCGAAACGAAGACTGTACTAACATCAACACCAGTGATGTCGTGTCCTGATTATACAAAACCTTTTATCATTCAATGTGATGCTTCTAACAAGGGTATTGGTGCAGTCTTAAGTAAAAAAATAGACGGGATAGATAGAGCAGTGGCATTTTTAAGCCGAAAACTAACCGATCGAGAAAGACATTATTCAACATCAGAAAGGGAATCGTTGAGTGTACTGTATGCAATAGAAAAATTTAGACCTTACGTTGACGGAACTCATTTTACAGTGATAACGGATCACAGCGCATTACAATGGCTACATAAAATGAAAGATCCTCATGGCAGACTTGCTCGATGGGCTATGAAACTCCAACAGTTTGACTTTGACATAGTTCATAAGCCAGGAAAACATAACGTGATTCCAGATATACTATCAAGATCATGGGACGATGCTCATATTAATGAATTACAGATATTAGATAAGCACAAAGATGTTTGGTATAAGGATAAAGTTCAAAAAATCATGAGTGGCAATAATGAAAGTAATAATTGGGCCGTCAAAAATGGATTACTGTATAAAAAACTTATTTTAAAACAATTTCCAAATAGAGAACATGATTGGAAATTATATGACCCTGAACCGCTTAGAAATCAAGTTTTGAAACTTTGTCACGATGACATTACTTCTGGACATTTTGGAATACGGAAAACTATGTTCAAAGTTAAGCAATTCTTCTACTGGCCGAACGTGCTGGCGGGTGTCAAAAAGTATGTGAATGAATGTGAAACTTGTGCAAAATTTAAGGTAGAACAAAAACTTCCTTTTGGCCAAATGGAGGCACGCAGAGACGTGACACGCCCGTGGCAAATGATATCACTGGATCTTATGGGTCCGTTTCCAAAAAGTAAACGCGGTGTTACCATGCTACTCGTAGTGACATGTTATTTTAGTAAATTTATCTTATTATTTCCCTTAAGGACAGGGAAAACGGAAAAGATATGTGACATATTAGATAGCCAGTTCTTACTCTTTGGTGCACCGGAGTGTGTAATATGTGATAACGGGAAGCAGTTTACATCACAAATATTTAAAAATTTGGCGGCTAAGTACAAGTTAAACCTCTGCTCTGTGGGTGGTAATTTGGTGTGAACCAAATTACCACCCACAGAGCAACCCAACTGAGAGAGCGAATAGAGTGATAGGCACTTTGCTATCGTTGTACTTACAGGGCAATAAACACAATGAATGGGACTTATATTTACTGGAAGCCAGCCATGCAATTAGGACAGCGGTTCATGAATCAACAGGGTATACACCGTCTTACCTATTCTTGGGTAGGGAAACAACAATAAGTAGGCACGAGACCTAAAACTAGCTCAAAATCAAAGCCTAATGCGCTATAATCTTAGACGATGACCAGCGCCATTCAAGGTCGGCGATGTAGTTTGGAAAAGAACTAAATTTTTGTCAAAAGCAACTAATAAATTTATGGCAAAACTTGCACCTAAATTCGAGAAAGCAATTATAAAGGAAATGTTGTCGAATAATGTTTATAGATTGATTAAAATTAATGGCAAAGATTTAGGGGTGTGGCATGCGAAGGACCTGAAAGGTTGTAATTAAAAAAAAAAAAAAATTTTTTTCTCGTACGTTGGGGGGATATTTATAATGACCTCGTAACAACCTAAATAAACTTTTTGTACGTGAACTTTAGAAGTCTCATTTATTACAAAAGAACCCATATATTACATACATATACACATATGTATATATTATATATATACATATGTGTATATTGTATACACATATGTATATATATAATCGGAATCTCGCAAGCGGCTCCAGCGATTTTAATGAAATTAAGTATGGGCGTAGATTCGGGGGCGAAAAATCGATCTAGCTAGGTTTCATTTTTAGTAATGTAAATGTAAAAAAAATGTACTTTTATCCCTGTTTTCAGGGAATGAAAAATATCATTCGAATATGACGGTAAATTTCGCCGCCAAAAAAAATTTTATAATAACTCGGTCGGTAATCGGGCGGCCCCAAAACAGACGGCCGTGGTTCGTATCACGATAATTTACACACTTATTTTTTTACTTTTTTTTCGATTCCAGATCATTGCTTTCTTTATTTATTGTCGATTTATTATTTTGTTATTTTTTTCCCTTTTTTTAAAGTCCTTTCTTTTGTGAAAAACATCAATTCATATTTTCTTATTATTACGTCGGTAAGATCGAAAAATATTATGCATGTTTCATTAGTCAGTAAGTTGTATCTAAATTTAATTTCCAAAATACACGATTTACCAAAAAAAAAACAAACCGAGCAAAGCTCGGTCCTCGGTACTTTTTGTTATGTGAAAAGGTGGCATGTGAACAGACCGCAGATGGTTTAGCTGTTCTCATATATAAGAACTAAAATAATAATAAAAAACCCCGATGAGTTTCTTTCGCCGGTTCTTCTCAGTACAGTGGCTTTCTTTTCCGAACCGGTGGTATATTTTGACTATCAATAAGCGAGTATAATACTCTTGTGTTGAATAAAGACATTTGATTTTGAACAGTTGATAATTATTACCTTCGCCAATTGATATCTAAAATAATTTTAGGACTGCAGATGCCTTGAACTTTGAAAGTGTGTGCCCCGTTCACTTCCCTCGCCAGACGAAAATAATATTGTACTCCGCTAGTCTTCTGCGACCTCATGGTACTTCTCCGGACGAAACTTTTACGACATTCTATACATTTCATTAAATATACTTGGTTGAACTTCTTGTTTCACTTTATTTATTAAGTTTCATTCTTTAAATATATACGGAAACATTTCCGTATTTTGGTATACGTTCATTTTCTCGCTGAAATAAACTCATAATTGGAACAAGATGACTCCGTAGCGCAGTTACCAAGGTATTATTTTCGGCGCTGGGGGTCACAGGTACAATTCCCACCCGGGACAACTATTTGTGTGAGCCACAGATAATTGTTTCGGATCTGGTTGTTCACCCACGTGTAGTTTATTTTTGTAAAAAACAGTCTTTCAACACAAGATAATGTTATCCTACACAAAGGCAATATTTAAAAAAAAGAGAGTATATCTGGATCGCCAAAATGTTTTAGGGCAGCTGGTAAGATGTCTCTTTAACCGCTGCGCCATCGGTGCACAACAATTGCGCAATCACACTCTTGCTATCATATTCAGCGCTGAAAAGGAACGTTCGAGTTCTATACATATATACCCGTAATTATCAGCTTGTTTGTTTGTACGGCGACACTGGATCATACGTCATGTGACACGTCAAGATCGTGATGGATATAGGATGGTTCCTTTGTAGTTTTGTTTGCATTGGCAATCTTGGTTGGGTTTAAACGAATCATCGCCATTGCGGAGACATTGCGATAATATATTACAAAAACTAATTAAGGAACAAATGACACTTTATTAAGTGAAATTAAACACAATTGAAAATATTTTTGGATATTGTAAGAGGTTATATCTTTAGCTAAGTTATAACCTCTCACAATATCAGTACCTGAATTAGAGGCGCAAATTAGGCTATACATATTATGGCAAAAGTTTTTTGTTTTGTTAAATTATTGCTCACATTAATTTAGTGTCTTAAGCATAATTTCTAATTAATTTTAAACTCAATAGCTCTTCATTGAGAAGAGCGCATTTTCCGTGGTGGCGTGGCTCACTCGTGCATAAAGCCGTCCAGGCCGTATATAAAACAAAGGCACCACATTAGCAGGCCACTGCGAAAACGGTAACGAACGAAACAAAGATGCGTCAAGCGAGCGTTTGCATTCTGCTCTGCGTGCTGGCGGCCGCCTGCCAGAGCGCGGCCCAGAGCCACGACCTGGTGCTGGGCCAGGCGACCTACGGTGACGTGGTGATCTACAAGGTGAACGAGTACAAGTACGGCTTCCCGTTCTTCGTGCGCACCAGCGTGCTGGAGTACCCGGAGCCTGGCCAGACCAACTTCGCCTACATCAAGGCGATCTACGTGAAGGACAACGACAGGGACGGTACCGGCGGCTACCCCACCGTCTCCGCCGGCGGCATCGGCCAGCGCTTCGTCAAGATCAAGCTCAAGAGCCAGAGGGGCTACGGGCTCAACTTCACGGTCACCATCTACGGCAGATACTGAGTCGCCGGCACTGGCTGAGGCCTGTGTTAGGTGTACCACCGTTGCGGATGTTTAATCTATAAGTACATATGGAACGCTATTTATTTTTGTTTATGTTAAGCGAATAAAATACATGCCAAAGACTGCTTATTTCATTTAACACTTGAGTGGCACCCCGGTAAGCGAAATATAAACCTATAAAACACTATAATATAACCTTAAATGTAGAGAGGATAAGGAACGCAAGTGAGAAATTATTACAGCGCTGCCATTATTACAGAGACTAAGGTAAGTCGTTAGGATGAAATTTTTGTATGTTGTATTTTATATTAACTGTAATGGTTAATTTGTAATATGAAATTGAAATAATATTAATGTTACTTTAATTTGGTTTTTTCAATATGTTAAGTGTAATTTTAAATGTTGATATACTAGTCTTAAATAAATGATGATAATTGTTATTAATTCATTACAAAACATTTTAATTTATAATACAATTATTATAACAAATTTATAATACAATTATTTTATACTAGCTGCTGCCCGCGACTACGTCTACGTAGAATAGGCTGAAGGCGTAACATTCAGACAGAAAGAAGTATATATGTTATGTATAAGCCATATTATTGTAAAGTTTCATTAAAATACATTCAGTAGTATTTACGTGAAAGAGTAACAAAAATCCATTCATACAAACTTTCGCCTTTATAATATTAGTAAGGATACAAATATCTGAAGTATAGTTGGAGGTATAACTGCTTGATAAGGTTTATGTATATATATAAAATACATTAGTATAAAATAGTTAGCAAGCAGTACTTTATAATTAAAATCTTAAAGAATAGAGTTTGCTGTTGGGAATGCGTCTAATTTACGGACTTAAAACAGCTTCGAATGTTTATTTATTTATTTTATTTATTGAACTCGCTATTTGGAATTAAAGAGAAACATAAAATTCTCTTCTGAAAAGTTTCTATACCAGTGTTTATACGATATTTGAAAATTTCTTGCTAAAATTATTCCCTCCATTTCGGAGGTTTTTCCATGCCGTATATATAAGGCATCAATCAAAATCGATGAAGTATCTTTTATCCAACAAGCGCTTTTTGTATTGCTTCCAGATTGGAGCTTAGATTATTCTTCTTATTTCTTCTTTTTTTTAAACATGCCTTAACTTTAGGATAACATATCCTGTGTATCTACAAACTGTTGTCCCTTGTGGGAATCAAACCTACGACTCCCGACGCTGATACCTTAAGCAAATGCGCCATGGAGTCTTCTCATTATTTCAACTAACAACTTTAAAAATAACTAGATGAAATAAAATAAGAAATTCTGTAAATGGATCATAGTTAATGGTGTTGAAGTTAACAGCATTTGAGTCTTCGGAACCTTTTTTTCTTGTTCAAGTTGGGGAAATGCCAACGCACACCCTTGAACCCGTGATAGCTCAAAATCCGGGCCCTCGTTTTAAAACAATATACTTGAGTAACCTGAGACCGATCCCCGGTGCCGGCACTAAAGAAGGTTTTAGGTGCTGACTTATCATTTGCACGATGGAAAACTTCGTGAAGAAACCTGCATATTTTCGAAATAATAACAAAAAACAACTTATGCAATCATAATTATAATTTTTTTTATTTATGCAGTATTTTTTTTCTTTGATATTTATTCAAGTTCCACTTTTTGAGAAGAAAACAAGTTTTTTTTCTTTTATTGAAAAAATAAATGAGAAGTTAATATCGTTTAAAATATTTTTTATTATCTTACAATACATGTAGGTTATTTAGAATTTTTATCATTGAAACTAAAGGTTTATAGTAATTAAAATAAGAAACATAAGTTTGAGACTAGATATCCTCTAAATATCATATCATCATATGATAATATAATGTAATAATATCCATCCGTGCCAGCTTCGTACAGTCGTACCATATATATATATATATGTTCGTATATACATCGTTTCAGTATACAATATACATTATCTATGGTCGTACCATATACACACACGTTAAGCGAACGCTCGGCCGAGCTACATGGTAGGCGAAGTGGGGGTGTTAGGTTTTATTTTCGTTACGCAATTTCTTGATTCGGTCGCGCTCAAAGCCCACGATAAAAGCTGCATTAGCTTAAAATACTTTAAAAATATGTGAAGTCCACCAAACCGCAATGGGTTCGCATAGTGGACTATGCCCTAATACCGTCTGTAACCTTTGCCCAACAGTGGACATTTATAGGCTGTTACTTTACTTTACCCGCCGTCGCTAGAGCAAGGTCTGGTGGTGTCGGACACGTACCAACTAAAACCACCACGATGTTCTACCTAGGACGCATATCGGCAGGGCCAGGGGAACACGGGTAAGTCAACCCCTGTCCAGGAGTTACCCCACTCATTTAAGTAATTTTCTATTCGTGCTGGTATAGCAGCATATGGCCGGACCAGGACCTAAGCGCACGCCCTGAGGCCTGGAAGGGCCATAGTCGTGCCGGGGTCGCCCTAAATTGCGTCTTCGTGTGAATGCGTCGGGGTTTTATTAGTTGGCAGCCAGTTGACTTCCATCCTAGACCTCCCACATACCTCCACCGATACATAGGCAGGATAAACAAGGACCAATCTTTTAACGAGAATCTCTCCATAAATAATCGTTGAGATTGAACTCGTCTATCGGTTATTTTTCAATTTTGTGAAACCTCTCGCGACACAAGATTTATTGTCTCCAGCGGGAAGTGTTTTATAGTGTTCTTATATTAAAAATGAAAAAATGCCTTCTTTAACATTAAACACTGAATTACAAGGAGAGATAAGAAATGTGTTTCTGCGATGCTACAAAGCCTAAGTAAACAATAACATTAAATCATCAGTTATTCTGTATAGTTTCCTGGAAAACCGGCAATCGGTATCTGTTGTGGCAATACGTATTATTAAATAGTTATTCATCTTTTCTTAAACAAATGTTGTCTTACCTTCGAGCTTAGTTGCACAGTTTGTATATTATTCACAGATCTGTTAATTATAAGTGGTTTTAACGAAGACTTCAATTTTATTGTCATAGTTAAATCTTGATAATAAATTACTGATTTAAGAAGCCAAAAAATGTTAACGTGTTTAAAGTCTTTATCGTACTTCATCGAAATTCAATTCTGCGCCCTTATTAAGATAACGACCGATAACAAACTGATTATAGTCTATATATTATACCCGAAATATTTTTTAACCAATAAAAAAATTGTTACGGTACACTAATTCTTGCATGCACATCCGAACTTTAATATCTCTTAAGTAGTAAAATTTTTTTTTTTTTTTAATTGAAACAGAGCCTTCATTTTTCTGTAGCTGTCACCTTTGTGAATCCGACTCGCGATTTCAACTGAGTTAAACCGTGAACGGAACCAACCACTCCAATTGGAGTAACATGGGCCTCCTAGACTTCAAGGAGTGGTATGAACGGACAGATTTGTAGTCGGGGAAATCGAGTGAGAATCTGAATGCGGGCCGGAGGCGCACTAGGGACAGGTAACAGGGAGCTCATGGCCTCAGTGGGCGCCGGCGCGAGGCTGGCCATCGCCGAATACCAGCACCGGTTCACGGACTCGAGGTGGAAATGCCACTTATGCAAAGCGGAACTCCCTTCGTATCCTGTTGGAATTCAGTAGAAAGTACCATACGGACAAATATTAATTATTTTTATCTTAAAGAAGATAGCACACGGGCGAGCTGTTCATGAAAAGGTGAATGATAACTGTTGTCCAACGACATCTGCCGTACCTATCTATTTCTATGGTATGGGTGCGCTGCTAACTTTGCAAAGTGGGGACAGAACTACGCCTTGCAACTTTTTTGATTGCGTGCTTCTCATTGGTTAATACCGGAGCTTATTCACAGAAGCCAAAGCAAAAGAGATTCATCATCGTCCTGTTCAGCCTATTCATGTCCACTGGTGAACATAGGTTTCTCCAACAGACTGATCCTGAGCCACCTGCACACGTTGACTTTCCGCATTTGCTCAGGTCGATTTGACCGATTTTGCACTCAAAGAAAAATCGATATTAATTAACATTCACATACATACTTTTATTCTCAATATATACGAAAAATCGAAGAACACATGACCATATAAAATAAATTAAACAAATTACTCTTTTTTCAGTTTAAAAATCAATTTCAAATGCGCAAAATAGTTTCTAAAACATGCTTGTGCACGAATACTTTGTACTTAATTAGGGCGAGTATATTAAGAAAGTGAGAACAACGTTGCGTCGCAAACATTAAGAATATAGATACTCTGTTCCATTTAATCGAGTACAAAAACTATTTGCCTTTGTTATTGCAACAGTACATAATAGAGTTTATTGTCGTTAATGGCATAATTGTTTATTGCCCTCTGGATGTAGGACTTCTACCTTTGTTTTATCTAATCTTTTCGATAATGGAAAAAATATCCTTTTATCGCAACTGTTTTACTCTATTGAAATCAGATTCTTTTCAAAACTGATCTAGAAAATCATAGCTCTATACTCTTATAAATACTACGCTATCTGTCATTTAATATAACCTTAACCAGAGGTACATCCTACACTGTATCCCCACGGCATTTGGTAGATTCATTGGTGCTGTACTCCTTCGCTGCAAATCTTGATATATTCTCTGCGAAAGATATATAAATCTCCCGTTGCAACAGATGTACGGGAGAAACTGAGACGGCGTTGCTAAGGGCTGCCATTTAATAAACAGAGACGAAAAGATTTAATAAAGGTTGGTTAAATAGAACGCGTTGAATTTATACTTTTTGAAACAGTGTCTGATTTCATGTAAAAACTTAGAAATATTTCGCGTCTTTTTTTATTTTAGTTAGTTTTAATATTGCACCTGCCCACGATCTCACCACACCAATGGTTGACTGGCAGAGAATGCCTAAAGGCATTAAGTACGTCTATTGTGTTCCGAATTAAAGGAAATGCAATAAAGACTAAATAAATAAAAATTGCAAATAATAATAGATCTCATACACATTAACACATTTTGATTGTGTGCTAACCTATGTTATCCAGAATTATCTCTTTAATTAAGTAGTTTTCTATAAACATTTGTAGAGAACAAAGCGTAGAATGCATTATGTTATGCTAAAATGGAGGAACGCGGTGTTGCCTATTGAAAATGCGCTCAGGCATCTTTGACCTTTCCTTTCACCTTCTTCAGCCATCACTCAAAATGTTTACGAATTTTTAAATATAGTGACTTTATCTAAATTTTTGTTAATTGATGAGTTTTTTAGCATATTACGTCAAACATCATCTTTAAATTCCTCTCTGTTTGTAGTCTTACGAAGGCAACAGTGCACTTTAGAATTTGTCACCACATATTATATGTATATTTTTGACGGCAATATAAAAATGTTGATTTCTATGTACGCTTGAATATTACAAAGACATTAAATGATATATACTTATCTTCTTCGCTCGAGTCTAATTTGGAAATGCGATGACTTTTTGAACGACGTTTGTAAACATCCTTAAACAGCTCCGGAAAAAATTGTCAATTTATCTCTTAATGAATTAACGTAGACAATTTCTCTTGCCAATTAATTTTGGTGGTATTGGTGTAAGGAACATTTTTCGTATTTCTCTACCTGCCTTCCTTACTTCCGTCCGAAGCGTAAAAAATCTCTGTAATAGTATCCAAAATCACAATTCAGAATCTTTTCAATACCGGGGAAGCTATAGGGGAATTTTTCCCTCTGACATTTAACTAACAAAAACTGTGGAATGTTCCTTTGGTGGAGACATTAGGGAAAGCAACGTTTAATCTTAAGATAGAAATCGGCTTATTAGGCTTTATAAGCTTCACGCTTTCCTATGAAGTAAATCGTGCACATCAGCTTTAAAGAAACTCATTTGTTGTAATATTTGGTTCTAAGGTTTTTTTTAAATATTGTATGTCAGGATTGGACGATTTTCGTTATCATAATTTCGTGTTACTGCTCCCGATGCACCAAAGCCTCAAGCCAACCACAGCTGACATCGACCTAAACATGGATGGGCATGCAAGGTCGAGGGAGAGTGCTTTCACGCACGCCATAACAGCGGCCGGCGTGGCCCTGGCAGTGTCGAGGGGCTGCTGCGGCGGAGCCCAGGCCAGCACGCCCACTGGCTCTGGGACGGCTGCGGGGATGACCTACGCCACGGCTACCGGTCAGTGAGAGGGTGCGGCAGAACTTTAATCGAGATATCATCATCCTTCTGCCCTTATACCACTTAGGTGGGATTCGGCATGACATGTGCACACCGGCTGCCTGCTTGACGTCAACCCTCCTTGGGAAACAAACACCCAGATGCGGAACAGTCATCTGTAGGGCACGCAAATACTTGTTCCGTGGGGAATCGAGCCCACGACCCCCGACGCTGTAGCCAATAGCTTAGCAACGGCGCCACTGTCGGCTTTAATCGAGATAATTTTAACCAAAATATTCTATACGATACATATATAATACTATTTATTAAAACTAACGGCAGCAGCTAGTATTATAATAATATACCTTCACTGGTACATACATTCAAACAGTAGTAAAAATAATGTTTGTGTTGCAAAACCAAATTCTTGTTTTTTAAATTTCTTACTTTCTTTCAGCGTGACTAATATGCATTTGTAATTTAAATTTTTAGTTGTATGAGTTTTTTATTGTATTTATCTTCACTTAAAATGAAACATTAGAATTTGTAGATAAATAGGTTTTTCCTCCATGTTAATGTTCCGCCGTAACCATTTTGTCGCATCTTTAAAATAACGTAGATAAAATACATTGAGATTTTCGTCGCGTGGTAATCAGCCGTTTTGCACAGTGCGTGGTTAAAGTGTCTGGGCGAGATTCCGGAAAACGTGGTAGCAAAAAATTTTCCCATATTTTCCTTCCGATGCTACTGGTTTTGTACCGCTGATTAAGTGGAATTAAAACGAAGGATTAAGGAAAAAGAAAAATTAAAAGATAAAAATAAATATTACACTTGTAGAATACTTGCCAATTTATAAACAAAATATGCACTTGCAATGGCCACCCAAACGCTTACGCCTAAAAGTATACCATTAGTGAGTACAAACCGTACGTACCTTTCGTTTATTATACCCTAGTAATGGCGCACTGAAGGCGTTAGGTGGAATCAATTTCAGCGGTTTCGCCTGCTGGAATAGAGAGGGCGCTCACAGTTAGTATAATTCGCTGGCTCCGCGAATTGCTTATGCCCTAGTACTGACAAGCCTTGTGTGTCAGGTGGAATTTTACAGAAACAAAAAAAACTAAATTTTTTAAGTATTATTAAAATTTATGCTTAAGTTTTTAATTTGTTCACTTTCTTTTCTTTTTATGTAAAAATATTTAAAATATTAAATTTAATTAAATTAAATTACTACATCACACAACACCTAAACTTAACTGAGCTAATAACATAATATATCTTCATTCATACTCTACCACTTACAGTAGAAGCTCGGTTAACCAACATTGTGGTCGTTAGGCATTCGGATAAATCGGTTATTGCACATATTATGAAAAACAAATAAAACACGTGAATAAAATCAATGTTTATTAAAAAATATAACGAAATACAAGTATTATTTGTTAAATGCGCTTAGTTATATGTACACACATATTTTTTATATTACATACAAACTTAAATACTGACCTTAATGATGAAACAAAATATTTAGTTTAATTTGGATTAAAATATTTGGCAAATGTCACAATTGGTTGCAACATCACGAATTCGTTTTAAGTGTTGAACTCGCGGTATTACCAGTTTTCAACGCTTATTAAATGGGCTTCATCATAACCATGGGCCTGTGGCATTTTCCACTTAAACATTTATCTTTTCACTTCCTGGTAGTCCGGATAATCGCGAATCCGTATCAGTGGGGGCCAGATAGAGTTTCCACTCTATTAAAGTTTTGCAAAAAAAAATATATTAATAAAAGCAATAAACTCAACAAAGTGTACATGACAAATTGTAATGCAAGCACTGAGAGGATATTTAATACAGTCATTAGTAATAAGCGATAATATAAGGGTGAGGAGGGCATTTCTGTGGCACAAGCAACTATATTTTGTCTCAGATCTTTGGTTTTATGTCATCCTAGTAGGTACTACTATGATAAAACTATACTAGTGAAAATTAGTTTTTATGTATCATGGACAGTAGAGGAGTGCGGACTTTAAGAATTTTAAGAATGTCTTATTGTGTTAATTGTGTTCTTTAAACATTTATTTTAGTAGTTTTGCTGTGTTACCTTAACCAGTTTTTCTTCAACCACTCTTTCATCCAAAAAGTACCATACTCGATCAGTTGACATTCATTATGTTCCAATGAAAGTGAATAAATTAACTTTTAAAAAACAGGAATTCTGTATTTGTAGCGGTTGAATAACTTATAATGATATAATTTTAAAATTACTACCAAAAATATTCATAACACCTTCATTCTTTCAGATGCGGTTACATGAACATCGTTGCTAATAATAATAAATAAGTACATAATAGTGTGTGAATTGATAATAATTATTACACATTACATATGTCATTCAACTTTTTTCGTTTTTGCAATTTAATTGTGAGTGAGTAAGCATCACCTGCTCGCTTCTTACTTGTATACTAGAGCTCAGAACTCAAGAGAAGTATGCACGTGACCTACCTGTTACGCACACGAGAACCCGTTTACAAACTCAGACAAGCGGTTTTTGTTAACGCGTACGAGACAAAAAATCGTACCTGTCTCTTTCATCTTGTCTTACCTGTGTGCTGGTAGCCAAGTTCAATATTATGTTACACCTTTTGATTTCTGACTGCCTAGTTCGCGGGTGAAATGAAACATAGGTGAATTTACCTGCGTTCAAATAAAATAATCACCGTTAACTAACTACTAAAGTGATCGTGAAAGTAGAGAAAAGAATTAAACAAAAAAAACCTGTGGCACTCGGGGACTGCCGCGGTTAAAGCATTGCATAGCATTTTTATCAACTTATGCAGTTATAATTATTTATTTATTTTTTATTTAGTTACACTTTGTGAGCGTAGTGACCGATAAAAATCAATTTTTTTTTAATAAATGAGAAGTAGTTATCGTTTAAAATATTTTTATTATCTTACAATACATGTCGGTTATTCAGGAATTTTTATGAAACTATAGGTTTGGTAACTGAAATAAGAAACATAAGCTTGAGACTTGATGATATCCTCCGTCAATGACACGTATTACATGACGATGAGGTGAACCTATGAATGTTTCCCCATTCAACGTGCCTATGAAGAAGTTTTCACTTCAAAAAATTATATTTGAATGCTTGTGTTTTATCGAAATGGCAATGAATGCTTGTGCAAACTTAATTTTGAGTCCGGAAGTACTCACGACTTTCGGCTCATAACGATTTTAGTAGCCAACCTTCTCTATTATATTCTATATTGAATTTCAAGTTTTGATTTGATTTAGAGCGGCTATTGTTCATGAAATCCTAGTATTGGCAAGATACAAGCGTTAGGTGAATGAGCAGCTAGAATGAAGGAGAGAGATGTGAATAATAAATAACATTGGAGGGCTGGACGGACGGACCCCCATAGCCTCCACCTAATTTTTTAACTTAATATTATTTTACGATCAATCAAAATCATCATTAGCGTTAATGGGAAATACACCCTTGACGAAATTACACAACTACCACGCAATATACCTTTAACTTTTATTGATAAAAAAAAATATTACTTCATTTTGTTTTTATATATATATATATATATATATACCTTTAATTTTTATTGATAAAAAAAAATATTACTTCATTTTGTTTTTTTTTTACTAGAATCCAATCTTAATTTTACCATTAGAACAAACTATAAATTATTACGGAAATAACCATTAAAATACTTTTATGTCATGTACTCAATACATTACCTTTAAGAATAAAAGTAGAGGGGGTAAAAAAATTGATCAAAAAATTGACTTTTCTTCACTCAAATCCGTTGGCTACATTCGGTACTCCCATTATGCATACTCACTTACCTCTAGCACCCGATCTAGAGAGAGGATTATTACCTGCCTGTCCCACACAAAAATACTACTACAAAATTAATGTAGAGTACGTGTCGTTTAACATTGAACGTATTAGAGTGAGACATACTGTACCAAGAATATTGCTATCTCTTACTACGTGGATGTGTGTGACTTATGACAATACGGTATGCTAATGTTTGCGTCTACCTGAAATATCGTCCATTTCAGCTTGTGAAGGTTACAAACATTACCTGCTGCGTTATTATTTCCTAGTACTCTCAGGTGAGGGGCAAGACAGGTGAGTTTACCTGCTGCACTGTTCTGTTGGCCTCGGTGGGAGCCTTAATTTAAAGATTGTACATACATAAAATTAAGGTGGTGGTTTAATTGAAAGGTATCAGCGAATGGAAATCACAAAATTGTATACATTGTATATTTTTAAAAGGATTTTCTTATAGTAAATACCTGTCAGAACAACTTCACACGGTTAACCAACTACAACACAGGACAGGTCCTTTACTAGGCACGCAGGAGCTATGCAGATATTACGGAAGACACTGTTTCGAGAATAGGGGCAGCTAGCAAAATGTGCACACATAGACATTTTACATCAAAAACGAGAGGCAAGTGTTTTTCTACAAACATAACTTCCAATATAACTCTCTAAATGTCACTGAACGCCGCCTAAATGGCTGGACCGATTTTAATAATTTTTTTTTGTTTGTCTTTAGGTCAAATAGTTTAGATTCACAATTCGGTCCACTACAATTTCTTTAAAATTTTTTTTATTTATAAGTTTGTGTCGGATTAAGTCTTGAGTACAGGACAACGTCTATCGGGTCCGCTAGTATTCATGTAGAAATAAAACATAATATATACAAAATTATATAAAATATAGATGCATTCAGAAAAAAATACGTCCTAGTGACATCTTTTCACAAAATATCATTTCAATAAATATTAGGAAATAATACTTCGAAAAATAGCAAATGAGCCTTTTATCGGTAGGTAATATATTCGCAGTGTTATCCGGGTGGAAACCGTAGCTGCCTCCTACAAAATTCTAAACTCCATTAACCTACATTTATAGGGTAATACCAACATAGAAGGGTTAATAACCAAAGCTCTGTGGTAGGGCCACACAGCAACTTCTGCTGTTGCACCACTA